CCTGCTGGGCCATCTGCTTCTGTTACTCATTTGTGTAGCAAGAGGGAGGACCAAGCAGAGGCCGCACCTGGGAGGCTTGGGCGGGGGGGCATTGTGGGAAAAGGGTTCTCTCTTAGAAAGGGATAAAGGAACATCCCCCCTCTACCCTACCAGGCTGGAGCGGGGGTGGGGTGGCAACACAGGCCCTACAGCTCCCAAAGCAGAAATAGCTCTGACCTAAACCCAATAGGAAAGACACAAAATTCAGAATACTGAGGCTGAAAGAGAGATGTGAGAAAACTTGCACCAGGCTTCTGGGGAGGGTCCCAAGGGGAGGCCCTGGATACCCCATCCTAACAGTGAGCTCCTGGGCTGACAGATGGGGAATGAAATAAGCTAGATTGCGGGAAGAAGAAGTTATAAGAGGATGATAATGATATGGACAGGAAAAAACAAAACAAAACATCGAAAGGCTTCAGAATGGGAAGCAATTCAGTGCCAAGTGTCATTTCAGGGGCCTGATAGTGAAGGATGCCTCCAGATACCAGGACAGAGAGGCGGTGACCTACAGGTGCTGAATGAGGCATACATTAGCAGAAATGCCTGAAGGTTAGGTTTGTTTCAAAGAAGGTCTATGTGTTCTATGTGTGTGTGAGTGGGGGGGAGGTAGACTTCTTGGGAAGTGACAGCAATGTTTAAAAAAAGTATAAATAAAACAATTACATTAACTATCTAGCATTTATATGTGGCTTTAAGGTTTGCAAAGCACTTAATGTATATTAGCTTATTTAAGTCTTACAACAATTCTTTGAAGTTGGTGCTATTATTATCCCCATTTTATGGACGGGAAAATGAGGTTGAAAGAGGTTAAATGATTTGGCCAGGGCCACATGGTTTAAAAGTGTCTGAGGTGGGATCTGAACTCAGAACTCCATGATTCCAATTATGGAAAGGACTTTAGAAGCCACCTTGATTGCAGAGAGGAGGAAACTGAGGCCCAGAGAGGTAGTGATAGGCAGAATTTGAACCCAGGTCTTGTGACTCCACAGACACACCAGCCCACCTTGGAGGAGTTTTCTAGCTCCATGACTGTGTGACCATGAGGGCAGGAAGGCATGCAGTATAGACCTACTGAATGACTGTTTGATAGTGCGGCTTTCACTCTCCCTGCCTTCATCCTTTATTCCTGGTCAGAGATCGACGTCAGCAGGAGCAGACTTTAGCGCCAACCTTGGGAGGAAGGCAGCCCTTGTAGGGGACATGTAGGGGAAATGTCCACAAGGGACAGTGTTTTCAAAAAGCCCACCAGGGCAGGGACCGTTTCCAGTCAAATTCGATACCAATACAACCAGGATTCTCTGGATATCAGATGCAACATTAGAAGCAGGAGTGACTGACATTCTTCTGAAGGACAAAGGAAGGCACAGGAGGAACAATACACAGGGAGAGCTGTCGGGCCCTGCTGCCATGAGATCTTCGAAAGTCAAGTGGCACCCTTTGGGTGTTGGCCTCAGAGGTATTTTTGCAGTGCTCCTCCTAGTGTGGAAGACAGACAGGTGTAAACCCTACAGAGCAAATTCTGGAACCAATGACCTGTTTGCCTCTGCAGCTGAGGCCAGAGAGCCACCAAAAGCTTCTACACTTTTCCACTGGGGACTATCTGTGCCCTGATTCTACTTTACTGGGAGACAGGAGGCCTATTATAAGACAACAGATTTCCAGGGTGGCTCTCAAAGATGAGAAGACGAGAGAGAGAGAGAGAGAGAGGGAGCGAGAGAGAGCGAGAGAGAGAGAGAGAGAGCGAGAGAGAGAGAGACAGAGACAGAGAGAGAGAGAGAGAGAGAGGAAACAGACTCCAGCCTGGAAGGGGTAGTATGTGCCATAGTGGAACTGGCAAGTATTTGGAATCTATCACTCCATGCATGACATGTGTGTTTAATGCTTTTGTGATTTTCCCCTGTTTTACTAGTCTAATTAAACCTTTAATCATGACCGAGTCACTCAAAACACATTTATTAAGCACCTACTATATGCCAGACCTTTGATAACTCTTAAGGATACAAAGAAAGACAAAAGAAAGTCCTTATTTGCAAGGCCCTCACATACTAACTAATGGGGGAGACAAGCATGCAAACAATTATGTAAAAACAAGATACAGACAAAGTAAACTGCAAAATAATCAAGGGAGGGGATGCTCTTGATTTAAAGGATAATGAGAAAGGCTTTCTGTAGAAGGTGGGATTTTAGATGGAACTTGAAGAAATAAGTGATGGAGACAAGGGGGGAGGGAGGTAGGGGCAGCTAGGTGGCACAGTGGAGAGAGCACTGGCTCTACAGTCAAGAGGACCTGAGAACAAATCCAACCTCAGATACTTTCTAGCTGTGTGACCTAGGGCAAGTCATTTGACCTTGACTGCCTCCAATAAACAAACAAACAAGTAAATAAATAAATGAAAAAAATATCAAGTAAGAATCCTCCTATTTAGGGACAGCTAGGTGGCGCAGTGGATAGAGCTCCAGCCTTGGAGTCAGGAGGAGGTGAGTTCAAATCCAGCCTCAGACACTTAACACTCACTAGCTGTGGAACCCTGGGCAAGTCACTTAACCCCAACTGCCTTAAAAAATAAAATAAAATAAAAGCCCAGTGGGATGGTATGAATTGCCATCCCACTGTGACTTCTCCCCATAAACACTGGGGTGCCATGAAGCCCCTTGGGATGGGGTCACTGACTCAGCTCTTGGAAAGTTAGCCAGTTAGTTAGCCAGCCAGCCAGGCCCAAGGCCTATTTATGGGCAAGGCAACCAGGGAAAATTTATAGGAACTTTTCATCCTAATTAGAAGCAGGATACTGTTTAATGGGAAACAGATCTGGGGGAAGAGTTGTAAGAAAGAAGAAAAGAAAACTAGAAGGAGAGGGAAAAGGGGAGAGGAAGAAAGGTGAGAAGGGAGAAGAATGGGGGAGATAAGGAAGAAGGGAGATAGGAAGAGGAAAAAAACAGAAGAAGAAAGAGAAAAAGAATGGTACTGGGGAGGCTGGAGGTCACTTTCCCTTTGAAATGAATTACCTCTATCTGACAAAGCAGACTCCAGTGCCACACAGACAAAGGAATCACACCTGGGGTGATATTTTAAAAGCATATATATGTATATCTTTGTATCCCTAAGTGTGAATGTATGAGCATGAATATAGAAGTTTATATGTGTTATGGCCCACAGGTCATTCCTAATGAAGCCTTCAGAGACCTGAATTCCCAGACCCTCCATTGATAAGAGCTGGTCTGTGAGTACGCATAAAAGTTGGTGGTTAACAGCAGACCATATGATAGCAAGGCCTGGCCAAATGTAATGCAGGACAGAGAGGGAGGTGGGGGAGGGGGAAAGGGGAAAGAGGAAAGAGGAGAACACGTGTAAGAACAGAAACAAACTGATCAGAGAAGGTTTGCCCATCCTAACAATAGGACTGGAGTCTCTCCACATCCCTCAATTCCCTCATTGGCTCAGGTTGCTGAGCTAGGACAGAGATCCACAGGGTGATGGCAGGTCTGCCCAAGACAGATTCTGTGGCACAGCTGCCTCCTCTCACCTAGATCCCATGCAACTGAACCAAAATGCAACTTGTAAGTCCCTAGGGAACCTAGTTTGTTGTATTCCACATAGGTCTGTGGCCTGAAGTGTGACCTGTCATGGTACCTGTGCATGGTCAGTCTGGCTCTTGGCCCTGGTCAGGGCACTCAAGGCTAGGGAACCAAGCAACCAGGGTCAAGATTACTCTCAATGTCAACTCATATTGTAGACAGAAGATGTTTCTAGGGCAAACACTTCCAGCATCATGGAAGAACTGACAGGGTCATTTAAAATGTTCTCAGCTCCTCAGATGGGAGCCCTTTAAGAGTTGGAGGCAGGGGTGGGGGCAGTGCCCCCTCCGGCCTGAGTTCTTTGCCACTGAGAGGGCTCATTTTAATAACGAGAGCTTTATAGGGGCATTCTAGGGAGTAGAGACAGTATCTTTGTCAAATTCCAGCTATCCACAACAACGTAAAAGTTAACACGGCAGGCTATGACCAACCATGATTCCAGAGGATCTACGATGAAAGACAGCACCCACCTCCTAACAGAGAGAGGTGTTGGGCTCAGGGTGCAGAGACACACACGTTTTGTGGCAGGTGTTCTTGTGATCAGTATAGAAGTGATCAAGCCCTCCCTCCCCTTACACCCCCAACTCACTCCCCGTGGCCTCTGGGGACAGGAATCACACCCTGGCTCATATGAAGTGACCACTGTGCTGATCCCCTAGCTTGAATTCTTCTGGTTTAGAACAAACATCTATACCTAACTCCCTGCTGACCCAGCCCACTTCCTGGTAGCCCTGAGGGTGTGCTTCAAAAGGCTCCGGGAAAGGGATCACCTTCCCCAGACCCAGCTGTGCACAAATGGGTAGATGTGTTTATATAGAGAGCTCTGACACACACTTGCGAGCACCTAATGTACAATTGATGACCACCTAACACATATTCGAAGGGCACCAAAACACACTTGGCCAGGATGCTCTTCACGGTGAAAAATTCCTCAGAAATTCACCACTTGCAGTCCCTTTGTCTTCTCCAATGGTGATGTAAATGGGAACTAGGAGAGAGGCAGGTCCAGAATAGAGATGGAGAGATGGGGGTGGGGCGAGAGGGGAAGTTGGGATGGAGCAGAGCAGAAGGGACAGAGATGGCAACTGGAACAGGGACGCGGCACCGTGCTATTCCTACCTTGAGTAAGCCCAGCCTGTACAGGTTAAAATCAGATCAAGATCCTTGGGCGCTGTCCAACCCCTACGTTCACACCAAAGGCTAGGTCTAACCATCTTTTACTATCGGCGAAGGAAGTTGGTCTGTGAACGCTGCCAACACAGGTGGGTGTCCCTGAGCACCCGGTCCCTCTCCAGCACACCACCCCCATTCCCTCATCCTCCCTCAGTGTCCCATATTGCAATGATCGGAAACAGACAGACACAAAGATGTTGAAAGAGACTTACGGAATAGCCTCGTCCTGAGAAGGCCTGCGCGGAGCTCTGTGGGAGGAAGGACAGTCACAGTCAATTACGGGGAAGCCACACCACAGGAAATATCAGAACTGCTGAGGGTCTAAGTTTCTGGTTGAGTTTTTTGTTAGAACATAAGCTCTTTGAGGACAGGGGACTTGGCCTTGTCTTCATAATCCCAGTGCCCAGCACATGAGAGGGGCTGAATAAATGCTTGCAGTGGGATTGCTGAAATGACCCAAGCCCTAGCTGAAGGATTTCAGGTACTGTACCTCTCAAAGCCCCTCAGTTCTAGATACCTCATGTTGAATCAGAAGGAACACTGGTTCTATGCCATTCCCCTGGCTCAAAAGCTTTCTGTGGCTCCCTACTGCCCACAGGGGCAAAATTTAAACTCCCCAGCATGGCACCTAGGGCTCTCTACCACCTGCCCTAACCTTCTGACTTTATTTCACATTATTCCCCTTCACAAACTATCTGCTGGAACTAAAGTGTACATCATTCCTATCTCTGTGAGGGGTGGCAGGTTAGTTCACTGGAGGACCTGGGTTCAAATCCCAAACTGTTACCTACTAGCTATGCATGAAAGGCAAGGCACTTAATGTTTCTGGGCCTTGGTAACTCATGTGTAAAATGGGAAGAAGGACTATCAGATGGTCTCTGAGGTTCCTCCTAGATATAGAGCTGTAATCCTATCATCCATCACAAGCCAGCTCAGGGACTATCTCCCCTGGAAGCTGGCCTCAATTCTCTTAAAAGTGACCTCTCCCTTCTTCAAAATTTCTTACACCACTTAAATCCGTCAACCAAAAATTATTTATTAAGCACCAACGCTGTGCTAGGCATTTGATCTAGAGCTGCTTCTTATATATACCCTTACACAGGGATCCCCAAAGCCTCAGTGCAGTTTTAAGTTGTTAAACCTTAAATGGATTTACTTTGCTCAAACAGCTTTGACACTTTAATAGTTGAACACTGCACTAAGACTTTTGGGACACCTTGTACGTTCTACCCTTCATTATATGTCCATGCTTTTTCACGTAAGATTCACTAAAGCACACCATTAGGTTGAAAGCCCTCTGAGGGCGGGGATGGTGTCATTTCACTTAAGTATTCCCAATACCTGCCTCCACATTTCATTGGAAAATTTTAATATTAAGTTTTATTGATACCTTTTGCGATTAAAGTGATTTATTGTTAGACTCTATGGCCCACCCGTTCCCATTCAGACAAAAGAAAAACAACCCATACACCTGCCAAATCCAGCAACAATTGCAATAGTTCCCACCCGTAAGCCCCCACTTCTCAATCAAAAGAAAGAAGAACACGTCACTATTGGTTCTCTGATGGCTACCACCATCAGAACCTGGGGTCGAACTGGGAATTATCCGGGGAATTATAATCTTGATGTTAGGAAAAGTTTCCCTCTAATTAGTCATCCCAAAGAGCATGATGTGTAGGGGAAAATGGGACCCGTCCCCACCCTTGGATATTTGCAAGCAAAGGATGGTGTACTGTAGGGAGATTCATTTTTGTACATGGAACGAACTGGACCATGTGACCAAAGATGTTCCCTGTAAGTGTGAGATGCTGCAGTTCTATGAGTCTAATCACTCAAGAGCAGGGGTCAGCAAACATATGATTTGGCTCACTGCCTTAAGAATGGTTTTTATTATATTTAAAAACATGCTTAGCTCCTATAAAAACAGGCTGTAGGCTGGATATAATCCCTGGACTGTAGTATGCAGACATCCTGCTCGAGTATAAAAGGATGTCCAGAGTAACGGGCCTTTTAAGAAATGGGTTTTTGGATTGAACAACTGAGTTGGGGGAGACCCAGCAATCAAGGACCTGGATAGGGAATGGGGTAACCCAAAGGGAGGGGGGTTGGGAAGGAGAGGGGTGGGTGGGGTGGTGCTGGGTTGGAGGAAGGATCGAAAGGGCTGACACTTGGCTGGACCCTCTCCCACGTGGAAAACGCCCCCCTAAAACTCACAAGTTGATTGTGGTTTCTACCTACTAGAAAGTGGAAGTGAGAACTAGGGATGGAGCAGGAATGGAGAGGGAGAAGGGAGATGGAGGAGTGAGCCTGAACAGAAGTGGGAATGGAGCTTCCTCCCATCTCAAACAAAGCCCCCCCAACCACCAGTCTCCAGATCTGACCTAGAAATTCCAGTGCTCTCTCTCTCATACAGTCCCTCCAATCTGGATTTCAGCCTGCACTATCAGGCCACCTCTTGCTGACCATTAACAAGGTCTTAGTGTTATGTAAAACTTTTGATTTAAAGGGGCATGGTACAAAATCCCGGGCTCCAAAAGGAAAGACACTGAGAGACAGCATGGGGCCGTGGAAAGAGCTGGGGACTTGGAGCTAATGGACCTCGGTTAAAATTCTGGTTCTGCTGCTTAAAAGCTGGGAGGCCGAGGGCCAGTTAATTATTTGCTAGGGCCTCGGTTTTCTCTGCTGTCAAGTGAGAGGACTTCTTTTTTGACTCTGAAATCAATCATCCTGTGTCCCCTCTAGTTCCAAATCTGTGAGCCCCTGGTTCCCCATCTGGCAAAGGAGGTGGTTGAGCTAATGGCTTTTGAATTCTCTTCCTGGTCCAGAACTATACCTCCCCTCTGGACCCAGATGGCTCTGGAGAAGAAAGTGAGGTTGGTGACTTTCCACAGCCCCGCCTCACTATAATCTGATTTACTTGCAAGTCACGTCATGACATCACCTCCCTGATGTCATGGTGCTCTTTGAAAATGAAGGACAAACAGCAAGATGCCTCCCCCTATAAAATGTAAGCTACTTTAAGGTAGGAACCATTTTCATTTTTGTATCCCCAGTGCCTAGTATGTGATGATGATGATGGTGATTGTGGTGGCTGTATGGCGCTTTAAAGTTCACAAAGATCTTTACAAATATTATCTCATTGGATTTTCACAACCACCCTGGGAGGTAGGTGCTGCTATTTCCCCCATTTTACAGATAAGGAAACTGAGGCAAACAGCTCTGCCCACTTGCTGCAGTCACAGGTCTAGGTAAGAGTGTCTGAGACTGGATTTGAACTGGGGTCTTCTTGACTCCAGGTCCCTTCCCTATATACCCATACTACACTAGCTGTCTAAGTAAAAGCTAAATAAATGTTTGTTGAGTGATTGATCTTATTCCATAATGGCAGCAGAAGATACAAACGAATACTGAAAGGGCTGGGAGGGACCCAAGGGGCAGCAGCCGGATGCCAAGGAGGAGTAAATTTCTCTGCTGCTGTTTGCTAATGAGTGGTCCTGTGGGAGGATTCAGGCACTGGGGGAGAGGCCCTGCCTTCCCAGGGTAGACAGAAGGCCCTTTTCAGAGTGAGAAGCTCTGCAGGATGGAGGGGGGTGGACCAGGAGGGACGTGCTTCTTTGGAATAGTCAAAGCCCAGCTCTGAATGGCCTCACTGCTCTAGGGTCAGTCCTGTTGAACCTAATTGATTCCTCCTCAGTCCTGCTGAGAGCTGGGTTTCATTCATTCCCCTACAATCTATTTCTCCCCCCACAGCCCAGCCCAGCCTCACAGAGCCCTGTTTAGACCCAGAGGGTGTGTGTGTGTGTGTGTGTGTGTGTGTGTGTATGTGTGTGTGTGGGTAACATTTGGAGTTTTCTTGGCAAAGATATTGGAGGGGTTTGTCATTTCCTTCTCCAGCTCATCTTACAGATGAGGAAACTGAGGCAAACAGGATGAAATAACTTGCCCAGGGTCATACAGCTAGTATCTGAGGCTGGACCACTCTTCCTGACTCCAAGCTCAGCATATTATCCACTGCACCACCTAGCTGCCCTAATAAAAAGAGACAAACTTAATCTGAGTACCTGTGCACCCACCCTACCCCGTAGGAGAACATAAGCTCCTTGAGGGCAAGGACTGATTTGTTTTCATCTTTGTATACTTGCGTAGGCAGGTAAAAACATGGAATATAACAAATGACCCAGAATCAAAAATGAAGAACCCCCAGAGGGGAAATGAGAGGCAGCAGTAACCAACAACTTGAAAAGAACGTGAGGAAAAGTCGTCATCTAGGAAACGTGCTGTAGGAAGAGAAGATGGGCCAGTCCTTCGGTAAGGGACAGCGGGGCCCAGCAAAGACAGCCCATTGCGACTGGTGCAACGTCAGGAGAAAGTTCACGGAAAGCAGGATGGGAATTTATAGGAGGGCCTGGATAAGAGTTGCACGAGACGGGCCGGCCCTGGCTTTCGATCCTCAAAATCAATGAGATCCTGGATCCGTGCGAATGAATACGGCAGCAGCCCAGTCTTCTCTTATATTGGCTGTGTGACTTCATTGATGATGATGATGATGATGATGATGATGCTGTTGATATTGAGAGGCTTTGGATGAAAAGAGTGGTCAGAATCCTGCCTCTGAATGGACTGTGTGAACTACAGGTAAGTCACTTTACCTATTAAGTGCCCAGATAACTCTCCAACACTATAAAAGCTGCAGAGAAACTGCTGACTTTTACTGGTTAAGGGAGTTTCTCGTTGGAAAAAACCAGCACCAAAGGACCTTAACTTGGGTTCCATGAACTTGTTTTCTTAAAAAGAACATTGATTACTATATTTCGATAAAACTGATTTCTGTTGTAATTCTCTCTCTCAACAATTTTTATTAATGTTTTCTCTTCCTTACAACAACATAGTAGCCCACCTTCCCCTCCCTGGGAGCCATCCTATATGGCAAATAGTATTTTTTGTTAGAGAGGGGAAAAAAAGTCAGCACGATGGACTGGTCCACAAACATGTGCAGTGTTTATACCTGTGAACCTCCCCCCTTCTTGAAGGGGTAGGCTTGGGTGTCTTCTCATAATACCACGCACTTGAAAGCATTACTGTGAGTAGGCGTCCTAGTCATCACCAGACTGCCAGAGGGGCCCAGGGCACACAAAAATGGTTAAGAACCACTGCCCCAAACTAGTCTTCTCACACCTTCCATCAGAGTACTCCATGATCCAGTGACACTGGCCTCGGGCCGTTCTTGCATGAGACTTTCCATCTCCAG